ATATCTTTCATGTTTACCCAGAACTAATGTTTTCATTATATTTACATAAATTATTTACATTTTTAGATTTCATATCTTTTATCACAATTTAACATTTTTAAACAATGTATGTTAACTATTATAAATAATCGATATCAAAATATAATTAATAGAAAAATGGAAAAAGTTGAATATATACTCCATATTATTTATTTAGCATACCTTACATGGAATGTTTTGGAGGACAATAAAACTCTTTACTTATACTAATTTCAATAACATCATGTATGAAATTATTATAATTTAGCCATAGATGTGCATCTATGATTTAGTTGACTAACTTATTCGTAAAAAAAAGAAATCAAATTACTTAAAAAAACAAGTTTTCATCTAAAAATGTAGGATAGAAAAAAATGATGAAATGAAAAAAACAGTACTTTCTTTTTCTTTTTTTCCCAATTCGATGCAGTTTGACACATTAATGAAGCATATCAAAGAAAAGGCGTATTTTAGAAGGTCAACAACGTGGTATTCCCATTTTCAGGAACTATCAGGAACATAGTTTTTATAAAATATAAAGAAACACGCCTTAAAAAAATATTTTTGAAATTATTTCAATAATTTCCCTATAAAATGCGCCATTTCTGACCGATTTTGAGTGTATGTGTCTGCCCAGCGCTCTGAAAATAGACACACTCTCAAAACAAAAGGGAATTAACTCGAGAAGACAATTAAGAGAATATATTCTGCAGTGCTGGTCAATAAAGATCAACAGATTAGAGATATAGCTAGATTTACTTGATTGAGGACAACACACATGATACATCAAAGACAATCAATTTGGTCATAGTACTTTTTTTATCTAACAATAGATATAGAGAACAGTAGGGAACTTCTGACGAGCTTCATCTATGGGTTTATATATCTATGGTTTACGTCTGTCATATTTGTTTTTTGTTTATTGATAAAGCATAAATCAGGTCGTTGGATTTCTCGTTTAGATTGTTTAACGTTTTTCATGTGGAGGCCTTTTAAATCTCACTATCCGGTATGGGTTTTTCTAATAATCGACTATAACCGACTATACGGTGTGGGATTTTCTCATTGTTGAAAGCCGAACGGTGACGACCTATTATTACTTGTATTCACTTATTTGAACCTTGTTTTCATATTTGTTGGAATTTCATAATATGATAAAGTTTCTTTGATTAAAACCCCAGGGGCTTAATTCAAATTTCACTCAAGAGAGGTAAGACGCCAGGTAGGCAATTTGAATGTAGTTTAATTTTCTTATAACTTCGGTATAACTTCAATTTACTAAATTTCTTTAAATTTGTTCTGCTCATTATTATGCCATGATTATGTGATAAACACTCCAGCATTTCACTTTGCAATAAGATAACAATTAATACATGAAACATCCTCCATTTTAAATAACTGCTCCCCTTGAAACTGTAATAAGAATTAAAATAACACAAACGTTTGCGCTATTACAGAATAATTTGTGTTAATTTCCAAAGGTTTGCATTAAATTCAAACATAGGAAGAAATATATATATAAAAAAAGTATAGAAGTTTAATTGTCAAGTACAACAAATATACTAGGTTAAAGAGACTTTTGAAAGTGTAAAGTACATTTTAGAAATGATGTTAATGTAGATAAACGAGATTGTTGTTTGTTTTATTTCATTATCATTTTCAGTAAAGCCATATCCTCCTACAATCAACCCTGATTCAGTTAACACAGAGGAGATTAAACCACTGGTAATATCCTGTACATCAACTGGAAGCCGTCCAAAGGCTTCAATATACTGGTTACTTGGAGATGGTAAAACTAATATTACATCCAATGCAACACAATTACTAAACTCTCATGATCCAACGACTGACACATATAGTGTAACATCTACATTAACATACATTGTTGATAGAATATATAATGGGGAAAACTTGATATGTGGAGCAATTAATGCGGCTACATTGGAACAAGGATGTGGTGTAGAGACTTTTAAAACACTTAATATTACATGTAAGTTAAGAGCCATATTTTAAGTCTTTTGTAGATCACAAAATTGAATGAAATGTTTATGAGAAGACCGTATATTTTTCGTTCACAGAAGCCGCAGAGGTGCTATTAGAGTACTTATGCCTTGTATGTGTCTGAGATTTATCATAAACTTATAATCAAATACCAATGTCATGTTGTATTTAGATGCCTCTCTGACAGATTTTAATTGAGGCTCCTCCCATAACCCATATGTCATTGTTCATTGACTTTGATACAAATTCATAACGTCATGAAATTAAACTTACTAGTTTAGTACCTGGGTATTCCAGCATTACAAAGTTTAGGATTTTCAAAAAAAACATCTTTGAGCATCACTGAGGACAAATAAATTGTCCAAATGCTCATCTGGTGTAGTAAAATTGAAACCGTTAACGTTAAGTCCTAACATAATTAGTCATTCTCAATTCTATAACATCATGCACATGCTTCAATAAAAAGATGTGCAATCAAAAAGACCACAGAAACCACTGTACTTGTGCATGATCATATAGCTTTTGGATTATTTTGGAGAAAAGCAGTCTTCTAAGTCGTTTTGACAAATACTACACACTAAGATGAATTCAATTCCACTGGACTTGTGATCATAAAACTTTTTGTGAAAAAAACATATATAGATATAAGAAGATGTGGTATGAGTGCCAATGAGACAACTCTCCATCCAAGTCAAAATTTATAAAAGTAAACCATTATAGGTCACAGTACGGTCTTCAACACGGAGCATTGGCTCACACCGAACAGTAAGCTATAAAGGGCCCCAAACATTACTAATGTAAAACCATTCAAACGGGAAAACCAACTGTCTAATCTATATGAAAAACGAGAAACCAGAAACACTTATGAACCACATCAACAAACGACAACTACTGAACATCGGATTCCTGACTTAGGACAAGTGCAAACAAATGCAGCGGGTTTAAACGTTTTAATCGTACCAAACCTTCACCCTTTTTCTGAAACAATAGTGTAACATTACAACATAGAAAGACACACTATAAAATATCAACTGAAATAGCTTAACTCAACCAAAGGACATATTAACACCATTGAACATACACTGAACAAATAAATTTGACCTATGACACAATGTAAATAAAAAATAAATAAACTAAGGGAAGAAAAATAAAAGTAACATGTTATATCGGTAAGAAATATTAAACAATTAAAGAAAAACAATATGCTCGAACAAAAATATCAGCCATTTGCAATAACTTTAAACACAGGTAAATGAAAATAATTTTGTTGTTAGGTATATGTGTACAGTACCAATAGAGAAAGGAAATATTTTTACAAAATAAATAATTTTAATGTTCATAGTACGAAGTGAAAATTTATAGTAATACCAAACACTTATCAAAGCTGGTATATAGACCAGATACAACCCTGAATAACATTAAATAACAAAAAAGCAATACAATTAGTACCAACAGGTCAAATAAACAAGAAAGTACGATTTGAGAGTACTCGCAGTTACTGACAGCTAGTTAAAAGCCAAAACAATTAATAATAAAAAATCATGCATCAGAGACTAAAATCAACTAAAACACATCCCAGGGATTTAGTATTTTAACGTCATGGACAGTCAAAGAAGACATGACTAGTGCAATGCCAAAATATAAATGTATCGACAGACAGTAGGATAGTTAGGAGTTTAACCTCTTTATAGATCAAAACGAACGTGGGTGTGTCTTTATACATCTCGTTTGAAAAAAATACAAATTTAGTTATGTTTTAATTTGCTGATGACAAAATCGATATTAGCTATACATGTACTTGAAGTAAGTCGAAATAAGTCAAATACTGTACACTAAATTGAATTGAATTACTAGTAAGATGTACTTCAGAGTTAGAATTCAAATAGTAGCTTCACATACAATTACTCAATTACTTGTTCTGTATCTTGTGGAGTGTACAAGCCCCCAATAGATATTCGATAACTCTGGAGTACTTTTTGCGCTACACTGACTGATGTTAAGTGTAATAATTGAGGTCATTGTTTCATATAGTTAGTGACCTACACACTTCCTGATAAAAAAAACAAGGTGTTGTGTCAGAAGTCATCTTTGAGAGAATAACAACCGTAATCGTAAGCAAATTAGCTCAGAACTTTATTGAAGATATAAAAAAAGAAGATGTGGTATGATTGCCAATGAGACAATTCTTCACAAGAGACCAAATGACAGAAATTAACTATAGGTCACCGTACGGCCTTCAACAATGAGCAAACTTTTCTTAAATCAGTTAATTAGGATTGCGGGAAATCGTACATTCCTTTTTTGGTGTTAATTGAAACAATTTTGCGGAAACTGTATGTTACTTTATGATGTTCCACCAAATATCCTAATATCATGAAAAATAGGGAAAAAAAATTGTTCGTCACCATGTTGTTGAAGGTTTTTAGGAACATATAGTATATAGACCAATATCAAAATTTTGAGTCCTGACTGTTTTTCAACTTCGAACTCTATTTGGCCTTTTTACTTTTTTTGATATAAACGTCACTGATGAATCTTTTGTAGACAAAACACGCGTCTGGCGTACAACATTTCGAGCCTCTTATCAATGATGAGTTTATCGACCCTTACACCATTAAAACTCCCTTCGGTAGCATATTATTGTCAAAGTTATGAATATACTGATTTTGTTATAACATTACAATAAACCCATCGTACATTGTAGATACCAGGATCAAAATTATGTTCGCCAGACGCGTACAAAAGATGCTCCAGACATCACAGTTAACAGTCCTACATATACACAGAAGGATGCTGACTTTATAATGTTTATAAATTATCAATTATCCCTACAAAAATAAAAACAGAATAAAAAAAGAGTTTTAACATCGCCATGTTGTTGCAGGTTTTTCAGGACCATAGAATAAAATAACAAAAATTGACCCTCTTGATAACCATGCTTCTTTCAGGAGCATATTATTGTCATAGTTATAAACATACAAATGTTTTTTATTACGACAGATGTTCCAGTCATTACAGTTAGCAGCCCTACATATACACAGAATGATGCTATCAGAACAGTAACATGTAATCCTAGTGGTAACCCAGACAGTTATATTTATCATAAATGGCAGCACAAGTCTAAGTATGGAGATCTTATACGAGAGTTTGGTGGAAATAAAACCTTGACATTACCAGATATTACAGTGTTATTAAGATATCAGGACAGTGGAGAATACTGGTGTACAGCTAGTAATGGTTTTGAGGACAAAAACAATCAGTTTGAACAGACTGGTTATGGATTAGTTACTGTGAAAGGTAATTTGAGTTTGTTATTAATAAGAACATATAAAGCTGATTTGATAGTATTCACCTGTTCAAAGACCATTTTGCATAACGCTTTCATGCTTGGATGGGTTGTTTTTAATCCTATTTCCTCGAGTGCTTTGATTTCACAATTTGCATGAGAGTTATGACTTCGTCCATTTTTTTAACATTGTATCAATGACACCTTGTGAATGCATACTTGGTATGATTGTTAGCCTTTTTTTTGTATTTAACCATATTAAACTGTCATCCTATTATTTTTACAGACGTTTTGGGACTTTGTAATGAGCATATTTGAATGTCGTACCACAATGACACAATGATACACAATTAAATTAAATATTTATAAAACACAACGAGTATTGTTCTACGGTAAAGGAATCTTGCTAGAATTTTGGGACATGAGAATTGAAATACTGATGATACCAGGATAAAATGTTGCAGTATATCTTAAGAATATTAAAGTTATGAAATCTTAAGTTATACAATAATTTCTGATTAATTTCCAAAATTTCCTGATTTTTATAATTATCACTTAGTTGCACGTTACTTTTTTTATCTGAATATGATCATAACCATTATTCATCAACTTTACTGTCAATATAAAAATAAATTTACATTGTTATGTTTTAGTCAGGGCCCAACATATACATTTTAAAAACTTGTCCTTTAACATAACTCTAACAATAAACAATAAACAACACTTTGTTTTGGGGAATTTCAAAAGGTCATTTATTCAGCAATTTTATATAATGAATGATTTTCCTACATATTTTTTTTTTTACATTGTGACTAATGTCAACGCATATTTACAACAAATTTTATGTTTAGACTTGGCTCGATAAAATGAAATATTCACCATAAAATCAGAATTCTTTAAAACTTCTTAGTATCCATGTCAGCTTCAACTTGAATGACATCTGTAAAACTGAAATAAGAAATTCATTCAGGATATGTTATTAGTTCATGCAAAAACAAATGCACTACCAAAACATTTTGCCATTGCATTATGGAAGAGGTACCCATTTTGCGAGCTCTGCTCATATTATCACCAGTTTGTTAATATCTGCATTATATAAAAATATTAACTTTAGAACGTGATTATGTTTTTATAATTTATTATATTTGAGATTAAAAGTTTGTCAAAATTATCCACATCTTTATAAAGGATTACAGTAATGCAACTATATTTGATTGTGCTTAATTTTGTTTTTTTGTTTTTTGTTTTTTTTTTTGTTTTTTTTACAAAATTTTAATTAAAGACTAAAACATGCTTGAAATTATGCATACAACGTTTCCTATGCTTTCATTTTAGCAAAACACAAATATCTATGTAATATTTCAGCTCAGCCAGTGTTTACTTCAGACACCATTGACAGAGTCAAACAGTTCGGTGAAATCGATAAAACAGTAGTTATATATGTTGATGTGTATAGTGTTCCAAAATTTACCAGTTCTATATGGACTCGGGATGGAAAACCAATAACAACACAAAATTCAACAAAATATCAATCATCAAGTTCTCCGACTATTGTTAAGGATACAATTTATGGGAAGGAAATACAACAAGATGGTTATAATCTAACACTAACAATACATGACTTGAAAGCAGAGGACTTTGCTAAGTACACTGTAACACTTAAAAATGGATTTTCAGATGTAAACTTTACTATTGTATTGGAATCTGCCAGTAAGTAAAAATAAGAAGATAATGTGTGATTGTAAACTGGTCTATTGTACTTGAGTTTGAGAGTAAGTATATTTTGGTTCAGAACAACAACAAAAATTAAATATCAATGTTGTCTATCATAGTTCATATTTATCTCTCGGTATTTTCTTAAATCTTATTTTGGTTTGGGATTTTTGTTTCTGAGTAAAATGCTTTTGCATACAACAAATATATGTAAGCAGGTTTAAGAGCTTTTGGGCAGTCGGGTAACCATCTGTCAATATGTCACTGATTCTTTAATTTGTGATCTTATGCTGTGTAGGAGCATGCTTTCTTTTTGAATGTTTGATATATGCAGAGTACAAACAAAATTGGTACATCAATTTGATGTTATAGAGTATATCAATTATTTCATTATAGTTTAAATTAGTGTGTTATCCCCGTTCAATATACAATAAAAATGAGCCATTGTTTGGTAAAATGCAGACATTGGAAGAAAATCTAACTCAAATGGAGGTTTTTCCCAATATTTTAATAATGTGCTTAGTAAATCAAAATTTTATTCCACATTTTCCAGTCTACATAAAAAGATCAATTAAACGAAGCAAGATAGGACATTTTTATTAAAAAATCACATGTTATTCAGAAGATGGAATTTATTTTCATATATGCCACACATACACACACACACACATACAGAGAGAGAGAGAGAGAGAGAGAGAGAGAGAGAGAGAGAGAGAGAGAGCGAGAGAGAGAGAACACACATTTTCATAGTAAAGAACCATACTTAAAATTTCGAAGGGTTCAGCCACGTAGTGTTTAACAAAGAAATAAAATATTAATAAAAATCAAGTTTTCATGATTATCGTGTACTATATTATATATATCATTGTATTTAATGTAATTTGCATTGCACAAGATCTTGTCTTCCTGTACTATTTACATATAAAGGATTGACTAGGGTATAGAAACAATTTCATTCATGAACTTCTTTCGTCCGAAAATAAACATGTGATAAGGTTGGATGTCCTTCTGGCTGTAGTAGTTTCATAAATCCGCTACAAATCCGGTCATTTAATCCGATGCTTCGTGTATTGCGAGTGTCACGTTCTTTTCTCTTGACGTTAAGGAACCATTGGAATATATCTTTGAAGGGGACCAATAGTTGGCCTGTTGAAAAGCAAAATGTTTACCCTTTTTCATCATAACCTTCTATTGTTTTCCATGCAGTCATGCAATTTGCCACTTTTTATCCCTGTCATATCATCTTGCAGAACGTACACGCCTATTATATATTAATAGTTAATAGTTTTTCGTCCTTACTATGCATGACATAATTGACATTTGATACTAAGTATGAAACAATCAATTAGTTCTGTCGACCTTCTAGTTGTATTCAATATAAATTTGGTCGTAAATATGCCTTAAACATTTGTAATTGGACTTTATCACACCAAGTAACCCTATCAAAAAATGCGGAGGGATCCGAATCCCGAAGAACACAAATTACTGATGAAAATTAAATAACGATGGGTAAGTAAAATCTGGATTCGATTCCCACGTAGAAATTGTGCCTAATACATCGAGTACTGCATCATAGAGAATATAGTATGTAATGTTTGCCTTTTGTGAAAGAGGATATCTTCATCAATTATTCAAGAATCTCTTTTAAGTCCGTTATATTGTTTATGTTTCGTCTGAACATCTGTTCATCGGTTGTTTTGTCCAAAAAGTGTTGGCTTCATGAATACTTTAAATTGATCTCCCCTATGACAAAAATTGCAATGGCTTACTAAATATTTGGAGGAAAAAAAGTTCTGTTTAATTGGGATGGGTAGTCGACTCCTTATTTTCAATTAACGACCAGTTTTTACTAATGTTAAGTTTTACACACAACATAAAAAAAAGGATCTACACACTAGTTAGGTGATCATAATCTGCAGTTCAATCATAATAGGCGTAATTGTTATTTCATGACGAGTGAATAACATGTAGTCATTATAGTTTTTTTGATTGTTGTAAAACCTACACCTATTAGACAGACATTATTGTAAACAGCAAAGATGAGTAACAAGTTAATATCTGCAAATTAAGTCAATATGACCGAAATTGTAAGTCGACTACTAATAAAAGTAATTGTCCTTCGATTATAATTTCATCAATTTTCCATTTTTGGCTATTAACATAAATAACTGTCATAAATAGAGAACACACTTTAAGCAGCAAAAATGGTCAGCTAGATCTACAAAGAAAACAAATAAGTGAAATTGCCAGTCGCCTTATAAATGACGATTTTTACGAACTTGGGGCTGATAGTTAAAACAATTGTAGATACAGAGAAATTTTAAACAGCGAAACAGTAATCAGTACTAGATCAACATAAAATCTAACCGCCTTATCCTTATTGAAACTATTGTCATTCAGAATATTTGCTGATACCTTTTGCCTTTACGTAAACTAGGGAGAAACTAGAGTCAATACGACAAGATCTGTAAATAAGTTTAAAAGACTTTGATAGTAATTTGCTTCCATTTAGGATACTCTACACTACGGTATTGCCCTTTAGTCAGTTATACTTCCCTTCTTCGAGTATAGCTGGAGTTGATACTTGTGACACCTGTTTACATTACTTTTGAAATGGAGGTTAAGATAAACGTGAAACGTAGCACATCAATATCAGACAACACAGTAAACATATTTTGAGGTCAATAAACGTGCTTGGATGATAGACAAGTGTCAATATATATAATTAAAATATATTTAATGAGACTGTTGTACAAACAACTTTCCAAATGCCTAAATCATCTACTAGTACAAATGTATCCAGCGTACTGAGTTATATATAAATAACCCTTTTGTTTTAGAATTTGAACTATTGAAAATCCGAAACAAAATCATCGTTTTTCAACTATTTTTTGTTAGTTGGATGTATATTAAGCGGAAAGATAAGTATATATCGATAACTTTTATTCAGATAAAACCAAAATTGATCGCTTTGATTCAAACTTAAAAATTAGTTTTGATTTTTTTTCTTACGTAGGATCCCGTAGTATAGAAGTATTTGATCAACACCATGCAAAAGCTTATTCAAACAAATTAAGTCTACTAAAATTCTTGCTTAAAAACAGAATATCTAAAAAGAAGAGATCTTGTTGAGATAAAAAAAAAAACACTAAAAACTACAAACTGTATAGGTTACTAAACGAAGCTGATATATCGATTGCTACCTTTACCCACTGTGACAAATATGATAAGGACGAGATTCAAAGTGGTTGACCGGGAACAAACTTTAAAATGGAAGAGTGACACTTGAATAAGATGGTACGTTTGAATGAGGCATAAACTTTGTCTGACAAAAATACAAGATTTAAGATGAAAAATGACCATAAGATACATATAAGCTAAACAATAAACCCATTCCTCCCCCCTGTGGTGGACAAATGAACAAAAAAACGGATTTATTGTGTATAATAATCATAAATTCCCATTGCAACCAAAATTTTCAAGTTTAGGACTGGTTTTAATTTCCCTTCTACATGTACATGTAATACCGTCTGATATTTTATTGAATATGACCAATCAATTTACTTTAATTCTTTGAAATTATGAATGATCGTACTGTGATTGCCGTACTTTTTTTATCCTATTTTGAACTCCCTTTTTCTAAAGGGGCTTATCTAATTACTCATGCCTGATTAAATTTAAAGGAATAAAATCTCAACTTAAAGACCTACACTGGGTTAATAAGTTCGGAGTATCTTAAGTAAACAAGAGAGATCTTTTATGACATAAGATCGTCCAAAGTATTTCAGATAATTAGTTGTGTTGAATAGCAAGGATACATTGTACCTGCACGAAAAGATTTGTAAGCGTTAATACATATTTCGTGATGTTTTTTGGTTAAGTTCAAGACTTCTTGGTATAACATCTGCTTCTTTTCTTTCTTTTCCATATGTTTTTCTATTAACAGACGTCATAACAAACACTTGGTGTACACAGGATGTTTGCTGATTGATATTTAGAAGTCACAGCAAATAACACAAAAACGAACTTGATAAGTTTAAGTTATCTATACATTACAAAAAAATGATATAACCTTGATATTATTACACCAAAAGCATAGTTTGAGAATTGTTTTTATAAAAATAGCAGCGAACAAATAAAATAAATCTTATTAAGTTCATGTACATGTATATGTCAACAAGTGCCCCCCCCCCCCCCAAACAACAAAAACAACAAAAACGCTAAAATAAATCGCCGCGAAGTCGGATAGGAAGTTACAAGATTCTATACCTTGATATATATGACATAACGTTAGATTATCAAAATTACACCTACATGTAGCACCTAAGTTGCAAAATTTGTGCTTTTTGTGACATAATTTTATAGGCTTCTTAAAAACTTAAAGAACAAATCGCATTTTAGATATATACCATATTCAACATAGATAAATATACTTGAAGATATACAAAACTATCACATTAAATAGTAGTCTGGGTAAAACAAAAATTGAATTTTAAAAATGAGCAAAAAGCAAAAATGTCACATGCATTCATTTCTAACTAATATTGTCAAACTGTTCTACACATTGTGTGAACTAAAACAAAATGTACGTTTCAAATTTACCTTATGTGTAGTCAAGCATATGTGCAATTGTGGTACTCGTCATAACGAATCCTTGATCGTTGGAGATAGAAAAAACTTTCAAAATATATGTAGGTGCAATCTTGATACCTGCACGTTAATATTTTGATCGTTATTATATTACCCGTAAGAAGTATTGTTACACACAGTGAACTTTAATTGCATAGAACGCTTATAATAAATTACACCCAATATGATTACTCCAACCCAAAATATTGCTGTCAGCGATCAGTTTATTGTTACTTTGGTCTCTTTGACCAGTGCACCGATTTTTTACTTTGAAATCAATTGGGATCGATTGAAATGAAATATGCCAAACGGTGCTACAATATTTTGATATTGTTGATACTTTGGTAATTTCGAGAACTGCTAGACAAATTATAACCGAATAATGTTTTGCCTTAAAATTAAAAAAACTACACAAAACATGTGTTTCTTGAGTATTGTCGAGACCAAAAGTTTTCGATGCCAAATACCTGCAACACTAGTAAGCATCATACATTTATTGTTATAATCAGAACAGATATGATGATCATTCGACATTGTAACGTACATGATACATAAAGCATAAGCCTCAAAATTGGATCATCTGTCAAACGGGAGTAGTATATGTATCTTCTGTCCCTTTTTTATTCCTAAGTCAACCGTGAGCGGTATATCATATTACAAGACGATATGCTACATAGTTTAAAGGATTCGTATTTATGCTTTCAACTGTTCAGACTGCGTTCGAAAGTGTAACTTTCTATTATTTTAAAACTGGATATAATTCAACAATAAATATAAACGTTTGTGTGCATTCTTAACAATAATCAACAGCCTCGTGAACATTTAGAATCTTCTGTATTCGTTTTTCTTGTAAAAAAATACAGTTTCTATCAAGTATTAGTGTGTATTTCTTTGAAACATTTCGCATTCTTTCCTCAAAATTTATTTCAGTTGCTGAAAAATGTACCTGTAACATTAATAAGTCTAAAAGAACAAGCAGCGCGACAATGGACTAATCTTCGAAGTTATCGCTGTCTTTATGGCACATTGAAGAAAAAGGCATTCATTCAGATTAAAATTTTTACATAATGATCATGAATATTACGGTATCTTCTTTAAATTGATTTTCATGACAAGTTGATGATGTCAACATAGGCTATAATTCCAATTTTCAATACAAATTTGTAAATATATTTGACAAGCTAACGAAAAATTACAAATGAACCTGCACACTTAATGAAAGAAGAACGTAGAAGGAGTATTTACAAGAAAAGAATGTACCTATCTTATACACTGTAGTTTATAATAGATTCTTCATTATAATCAAACAATTTAGAATTTATAACTTAGAGAATAAAATGTTGCCTTGTTTTGTCATATCGGTACATATACGAATGTATAGAACGTTTAAATATAATCGTTAGGTGTACCAGAAACACCAGGAAATTTTAGCCGAATAGATTCAGCATCTACAAGTTTCACAGTTCAATGGGATCCAAATTCAGGTGGTGGATATAAACAAACATTTTACATACAGTACAGAGTACAAGGATCATCAGAATGGACCACTGTATCAGCTGGTGAGGAAGATATCAATGAACAAAGGAGACGTAGAACATATGAAGTAAGAAACTTAGAAGGAGGCACAGCCTATGAACTAAGAATGTTTGCTGAGAATACAGCTATGAAAAGAAGTAATTTCACAGATGTGCTTATTGTCTTCACAGAAAGTTCAGGTACAAAATGTCCATTTTCAATGTTAGTATGAATCTATAATTCGCTATTTATTTTTTCATGCTGCCCACACCTGTTTCATTATTACATTAGATTCCCTAACCCTATAACCTGATGTAAACCTTACAAAGATTGAACATTTCATGAATGTTGACCTCCTTGCTCGAGAGAAACAGATTGTTTTAAACAATAGACTTTAATTAATATGTAAATATAATACAAACCAGTAGACCAGAGGTAGATGCAAAATTAAGATGTTAGAAAACAAAATTTTTCCATAAAATAAACGTGTTCGTAAACCGCGCATCTATCTGGTTTTTGTTTGTACATTTTACGGTCTCTTTATCTGAATTACATACAGAGGTGAAAGAATGCTATACATCATTGGAATATAGTAGCTTTTTTTTATTATTTAAATTGCATTCATTTAGGCAGAAAACAAATTGTAACTCTGCAGCTGTAGTACATAATTTCATAATCAAACAAATATTGTGAATATATATGTACTATAAAAGGCAAGCGGCAATTAATCTGTGTACATGTAAATATCATCGGATATATATCATAACATGTCTACATGTATGTTTTGCTATATTAATTCATTATATTTCTGTGTTTTCAGAGTAAATATATTCAACACACGTATCATTTTCATATATCATGCGCATAGTTTCTTTGACAATTGACGGCATACATCTTTGCGCATGACTTGTGACTGAATTCAAAATTACTACATTAAAATAAACATATTGATTTGCAATAATGTAGGGGAATACTTTAATATATGTATTAATGTTTACCATGTAAGTACTTCACGTGAAGTCATCGGTGAATATGATAATCTGGAGTCACGGAAAAGGTATTGAAAAAATATATCAATATTATTTTATTATGTTAAATAGTTTTGTTTGAAGTAAACACATCAGCTAAAATCATCAATTATCAGATTTTATCTAATTATAATTAAACGACGAGTTATACATGTTATAAATACAAATGAGACAAATATCAAACATATGAGAAAATAAAGACGTAAATTATACATATAAAATTATATATCTTACTAAGCATGTCTATTATTTTAATTGTACGTGTCCGTAATTGTGAAAGGAATTGTTATGTTATTTTAAGGTTTGTACTTTAAAAAACAAAACATAAAGCAGTTGATGGGAAATTGTCAAATCGAGCACTTCTTATTATCAGTAATGTAGTAAGTGCTACTTAAATGTAGTATTTATCATATTTAATAGAAAATTGATGATACACAATAAATTGTTTGCAAGACAATCATAATACATCTATATTTTATATATTTGGAGATTATAAAATTAAATCTAAAATGGTCAAACTTGCTTCTTGTTAATTTATTTTTGTTACAGTATCTACGACATCAAGTGCGGTTATTGGTGCTGTAGTAGCTGTCGTTGTCACTTTAGTGATTGTGTGCGCCTCTTTTATAGTGATACTGTTAATCAAAAGGACTCAAGGTAAAATCTTAAGCAAAAGTTAACATCGGCTAAACATCAAAATAAACGGTGACCTCTTTTTGCTGACATCGCTGACTGGAAACAGATTAAAGTTAACGACATGGTTGTCATGTTTTCCTATTTTTGTATTGAATATACTTTTACTTTCATAAAATATATCACTAGTACCTTAATTTAAATGCAATGAAAAGTGATAAGTAGTTGAATACATAAGACAATGAATACTATTGTATACTGGGAATAACGTAGTTATACATTGCTCGTGAATTTGATACACTTTTTTATTTTGTCAATGCACGTAAATCAAGACTCCATCTCCCGTTAAGCCGCAAAAAGTTGAAATAATTGCTTTAAGTAAACATTAAAGGAATTTATTTAATCGGATAAGGAAATGTTTGAGGTACTGTAGTAACTGCCTATTGTCCGACCAGTTTCAATAAACATTAATGTAAATAACATGCTAAGATGAGTCGTTATAGAGGTTATTTCTGTGAGGTATGATTTTTTTTAGTGCAAGATATTCGTTACTATGAAAATAAGCAGTTACTTCAATGTGTAGTTTCTGCGAACTGTTGGAGTTTTTTTTAAATGTTTTCATCTCGTTCAACCTCAATAGCTGAACAAATACGGAAGAAGAGGAGGCAAAGCATTTCCTTCTTAGCGTATACATAGAACATTCAAAAGCTAACATTCATAACCAAGCTTAATCGTCATTTGATTTAATATGTTATTTATCTAATGTGTTTCATATTTCTAATATCATTAGATACTGTTTCAATTTGTAATCTCACATGGTTTAGTGTTTATACTTACAGGGAAAGATAAAAAGGAAAAGTAAGTTGACTATTTTCTATTCAATCATAAATAGTAAAGATAGCATCGCAACGGTATTGAAAATACTATTACAAGAGTGGGTGTAAATTGTCCAGCGTTGTTGGTTAACTTTTGCAGTCAGACCAAAATTATAATTAAATATACTTGTTTTTGTTCTTTGTATCAATCTGATGAGTTAGTCCGTTTTCAACTGATTTTAATAGTTTGTTTCATGTTGTGCTGTTACACCACATTACCAGGTTAGGGAGTAGGTATGCGTTGTCAAAATGTTAAACACCGCTTGATTCTGTATGCGCCTTTCAAAAGTCAAGAGCCTGTCATTTAGTTTTCTTTTGTTTGGTGCTGTAAATCATATTTGTATTCCGTTTATTTGTGTGCATAAATCAAGCCGTTATTGTTATCTATGAATTGTTTAAAACTTATAATTTCTGTACCTTTTATATCATGCTTTACGGTATGCGTTTTGCTCTAATCGAAGACCGTAAGTTGACCAATAACTGCTTACTTATACGTTGTTTGGTCTCTGATGGAGAGTTGTCTCATTGGTAATCATATCACATTGTTTTTTATCATATTAAATTTATAATGGTAATATAAATGATAATAAGAAAATATAAATGATGTATTTCCCGAAACGAACAAATTTGAAAATAAACTGAAAGTAAGCCTAACATAAAAACTAGATATATCATATGGAAACGCTGCTTCAACATTATCTAAAAGTTAAATGACTTACATTAAAATAAAAAGTCACAATGATAACGTTTAATATGTCAAAATGAATAAACATGTTTAACATGGATTGCCTTCATCTCAAAACAGCATCGACAGTGTTTTGTATTATTCAGCTTTTTTTTATAATAATGGTTTCCTGAGGTAAAGATGACCTTTGATGATTTGATGTTACCTTTTCGGTGCTATTGGGTTTGATAATCTATCATTATTGTCATGCGCTCTATATTTGTTTTACTATCCAAATCATTACTTTAAAACGTACTATAACTAAATGCATTTATACTATACAGACGCACCATACTCATTAAAATCGGTAATTTTGCTATATTTGCTTTAAAGATGGTCAACATTAAAACAAAAAGACACTTCTACTGCCCTTAAAACGTACTTTTTAAGTGTTTGAAATATTGTTCAATTGAAAAATACACCACATGTTGCGAAGTAACTAGCATTTTACATATTTTTTCAATTTATCACAAATCTTTAAGAAAGCACAAATCTCTAAACGGATATCTAAAAAGTACTAGACAGATATTTTTAAAATATTTCTTCTTTACTTTCATTTTGTCATAATGCAATACTCAAAACAATATTTTGGATGCTCATAGTAAATCAATCTTTACTTATACAATTGAAACTTATTTTTTATATCAATTATTACTTCTCTTTAAGAAATGATACATACTATGAAAACACTGGCTTCCAGGATATTCAGAATGGAGATGAGTACGAAGAAGTGGAAAATAAAATTGGTAATTTAGCATTAAGAAAGAATATACGGAAGATATAAAGGTGACATTCAAAACCAGTTAGTCGAGAAAAACGGAGAACATCAATAAATAAAAAAAAAGTGGAAAACAACGAAAAAAAGACGAACAAGTGCACACAACATCTATCTAAAAAAAAATAGTGAGCAACACAAACTCCAAAAGCCGGGGTTGTACTTAGGTGATCTGCAAAGCTAATCAGCTGCTGTTTCACATGCGGCACATTATCGAGGAAATTCTGGTAATGACAACAAGAACATATCAGTAATCATTTGAGACACAGATATTATATTACGGTAAACTAACTCAGGATGACGTCCATAAAACCTTGGAAGGGAGGACAACTTACAACTTAGAAACCTTTGTTCAATAGCATTTTTTGTAAGGAGCATTCCTTTATCAATGAAATCATAATAAAAAAATCAACCCCTGGAATATCGAATCATCTTAGGGATATGTATGCCATATGTAGGTGCTTCTGGAATATGCAAACGCAATACGGTACAAGATGTAGCACTACAAAGTAAAAACAATATCTGAATTATGTTCTTATACATTTGAATTTGTTTGAAGCTGCATCATGATAAAATCATTGTAAATTAATATATGGTTGGATAAAAAAAAATCAATTTTATTCAAAGTCTTGTTATTGTTTGTATTATAATATGGTTCTTTACTGAACATTATTTTATTGCTATTGTTTTGTTGCAGATGTTGAGCATACATCGTGAGTATATAAGGATTGTTTGACATTTACTTCCTCAAATAAAATGACATAAGATAGATTTCACTATTATTTGTATGTTCTTTCTGGTCATTAAGCTCTACAGATGTTCCGCTTTTTATACATCCTTTGCTTCCAAATATTTGTTTCAGAGTGGTTCCGATGAAAGTAAATCCATAAAAATGCTTTGAACGGATACAATTTATCAAGTATTGCAATTATTTTCATTCGTTTTGAAAACAAGCAGTCCAAACGTGTTCATTAAAATAACCACAGGTTTAAAGAAAGCATTATATATTTAACATATTTGCGCAAAGTGTGTTCATATATTTTGAATTAAAAGTTAACCATACTTCCTTATCCATCAAATTTGTTATTAACTTCAAAACTCCTTACAATGCTAAGATAACCATGCCTAATGAACGAAAAATCTGTTAGTTCAATATCCAAGTGAACTTTAAAACAATAATACAACCGAAAGTATGAGGTCTGCTTTTTATCTAGATCTTTTCTATAGAATTGCAACAGATGGACGACTTCAACATTGAGTATATGACTTAATGAATTCCAAAATTCTTTTGTAAACTTCCAATTTCCAAGCAGTAGCACTCACTGTCCCATCTTATCACTGCTGATTGCGGTTATTTATCAAAACAATCCGCTACGCTCGGGCATGTTCACACTACTGTAGTTTATAAGCAGGGTTGTGCTTTTGACACAAATACTGCTACGTTCTTTCGTCAGGTTCCCTTCGTCAACATGATTCTCTACTTTGTAACTTAATAGAATCAGATAGATATTTTCCCGTTTTTCGAAAAAATGTGTAATTTCATAATACTGACTTTCGAATGTTTATGTTTAAGCATTCCAGATAAAGGTAAATCAACAAAAGCGCGTAGGACGCGCGACCTTTATAAAGTGTAATTTTCTGTTCATAATAAGTTAATCTGGAAAGTAAGGCTTTGGCCTATTTGGCGTTTGTAGAAGGATTTCTCGTTGAATCAAAGCTATTGAAAAACGGAACTTCAAATTGTCAATGTTATGTTACGCAACAGCAATAAATCATTGATCCCTTTCATAGGCATTTTGAGGAAAACAATATGAAAAAAATTTTATACATTTTGTTTGATTTTTACAAAATTGCAAATCAAAAAGTATTTGGATTTCATACTTTTTTTAGCACAACTATGTGAAAGGTTGCAATTAATGCCTCCGTCAGTATTAATAAATCATAAACATGTGTTGAATATTTATAGATTTCATAGTCATGTCATTCTACTGAAATATTTGGAATAATCCAATGCTTGACAATTGCATAATATTCAATATATTGATATGTCAGAAATTTGGACACGGCAAGAATAAACCAACACAATTACTAACATGTTGCGTTTACCTCCTCTCTCAATCGTGTTTGTCTGTTTTATACCAGAACTAAATAGATTAAATGAACTGTACAAATCAAAATTTAGTTCTTCATTACGTAAGATATTTAAAAACCCTTAGTTTTTGATATATACTAGCAAATAATATTTCCGTATTAAACTAATATTTTTCATAGAATTTTCAGTATTATCCCATATATTTTTCAGATCTAGTAAAACCTACGAAACACTTAGTACCAAAGACAAAATTAGTGTTTATGATGATTTAGAAAATGCCAAAGGTGTGTATGGTAAAATGTCATCGAAAGAACTTTTCTTTTGTGCAAAGGAACATATAAATATGAAAATAGTAGATGTTATCTAAGTTGCATAATAAAACTCTAAAAGAAAGAATTCGATTATATTGTTCTTACTGCTTAAATGAAAATATATCAAAATCAGATTTCTGATCATAATGTATTTATAAATATTAATTGGTTTAATTGTATGATCATATGATGCGAATTTTATTGAACGTCTAGAACATAACGAAAAGAAAATCACCAATATATCGAAGAACAACTGTTTTAACGATAAGTGTCACATTTGCAGTGACTCGTCTTTGAATGCCGTAAGATGACCATAAGTTGCTTACATCCAGGTCATTTTGTACACATGGTGAATACTTGTTTCATTTACAGTATTGATAATACCAACTGGGCTTTTTTTAAGTAACGGATTGACACATTGCAATACGACGCTCACTAGTTACTTGTGTCACTCTATTGCACAATGGGTTGTACGTTGTAAATACTGATAATAAACCAAAATTTACACAAAATAGGTCTGACTTGTTTACTTTATTGTGTATGTTTTACAATAACTGTCAATATCTTAGCTCGTTCAGGGAATTATTTGACAATTCACTCGGATGACAATATTTACAACGTTGGATCACCGTCTACTTCTGTTGAAATGTTGCTATTGTATTGCTGTTATATCAAAAGCTATATTTTAATTGATTGAGAACTTGTAATATTTTTTATCAACTTCGTTTATTTAGATGTAACATCATCAAAATCGTAAGTGTCATTATTATATGTATGTTTGTTTGAAAATTTCAAATTGCATATTTAAAAAACAATATTCCTTTACTTCTGACAATTAAATGGGGATTTAAAAAATAAGATATTTAATTTGGTTTCGAATTACTCTTTATTGATGAACATTTAAACACAAATCAGCTTAAGTAAAAGAAAGTGTACAGGAAATATCAAACTACACCAAACTTTCAACTATTGATCACGCAGAACGCAGCTAACAGATTTGCAACAAAACAGCTAAAAATGTACTTTCAAATTCAAACACTATTTAAACTGTACAAAACAATGAACACAATTATAATGTTTGAATTTGATATCTCAAACTTCAGTAGGTAACGACGAATTGAAAAGTGATTCAGAAGGAAAAGCAGCTGCTAGCAAATAGTATATTACAAATCATTATTTGATCAGTAAATAGTGCCACTTTGTTGCGAAATGTCTTCAAAATATAAAAAAATTAGCATTAAAATAGTCAATATCATGTATGCATGTATACAAAGTCTTTTTTTATAGCTCGATTGGCGATTACGAAGCACTAGGTGTCCAAGATAAACCAAGCATTTATTCTGAAATGAAAAATCTGAAAGGTATTTTAAAATTTTAAAAACATTTGCTGTTGAGCTTAGATTGATTTGGCTATGATTTTAGGACCCTTTTGCCATATAGCTTTTTTTTGTCCATGGCTATGAATGTTCCTAATGATGATAAATCCAGAAAAAGGCTCTGGGCGCATATACTGCACAAAGAGTTATTTTCATTACTAATTATATAAAATTAAGATGTTTCTATTAAGATTATCTTCATTTTGACTATAACAATTAACGAACATCTTTATTTTTCAATTGTGACATAGTCAGATTCAATTCAAATGATATTAAAATACATTGTTGAGTTAAAAACAAAGGTATGTGTCGTTGTTGTTATGTTTAATTTAAAGGGACGGTTATTCGCTGTTCAAATATCGTATTCTTCAGTTTAAAGGAGTAGGGGCTATAATGGTCTAAAATGGCCCAAGATTTACAACAACAAAAATGTAAACCGAGCAGATTTTTCTTCATAAATTATTAGAATATGAGTCAATGATTTAAAAAAACGGTTTTTATCTAGCAAAAAAACGGTTTAATAACGTCAAAATGGTAGGTGCAAATGACGTCATAATCGGGGAAAATAAGCAAAAAATACAGAAATTTGGATGGTTTTTCTACATTTTGACCACCGTACCATGCTTGCACCAATTTGAAATTTTGACATTTTGACAAGTTCATACATATCAAACTTCAGATAAAAAATATATTTGGTGCAAGGTTGGTGCGATAGTTTATTTTATATTTTTTCATGCCAAGCAGAGCAATGAAAGGCTGAAATTTCCCTGTCAAATGAGACCTCTGCATCTAACAAAGTTTGATTTATACATTATTATGCCTACATGGAATCTACTATTTTGCTTATAAATCAGTAACATGTATTTCTATTATTATTTTTGTAATTATACCTAGTTTATCTTTTAAAAAACCGAAAAGCATATTGTAAGGGAGTCAAGGATAACTTTGAGGATTTATTTTTTTTTAAATATGAAATTTTAGATAGACATACAATATAAAAAAACATCTGATCAATTCTTATGTTTCTGCTTATCTCAATTCAAAATGGGGTGTTCGAAATGGGACAATCTTCCCTGGTATGGGTCGGATGCATGATTTATGATTTACAAAATATACTGTAAAAGATTTTAAAGATTTGATGCTTAAATTTACATTATTGGTGATGAACATGAGATTTCTTTTGAAAATGAAGCCATCCTAATTCGAATTTGATATGTCTTTGGTGGTAATCTCCATTCAGTACAATCTTCATAACATTTGGTTATGGCAAAGTAAAGTAAGAGAACGGAAACTGCAAAATCGCTGATTCTTTTCACTTATAAAGGGACATTACTCCGGAACAGTGAAAGTTACGCCTCCAAAAATCTAACTTGATCTGTTTTTGGTGGTAAAACGATTGTGTATAAGTTTTAGAATATTTGGTTGTGGCAAAGTTAAGTTAGAGAACGGAAACCAATTTCGAGACGTACGGATGTACAAGGGTAAACCGTAATGAATCCGGGTCTATTAGCCCTAAATCATGTTCGCTCATTCACGTTTGCTACCTTTCATTTTCCCTACCTAAAAATCGCATACTGGGTCCGTTCGCACCCTACATTCATGCCACCTGTTTAAAGGTTATGTTTTAAATACATTTTAAAGTATGCTTCAGTACATGTAAGTGTATTCCTATAAAATAAAGATAATAAGTGTTTTTATTGTTTAAAAATTAAGTGACATTCAAAATATGTAAAAAGTTTTGTTTTGTGATTTATTTTGACATAATGAATAATGAATATTGTCATCGTGATCAAAGGCAAAGCCATTCGTCTGTAAGACTTGTAAAAGAAAGGCAAACCTTACCAAACGATATCAAACTAGTCACAATGACAACAACGAATAAAACAATAATATATATAAAGAATAGAGAAAAATTTAAAGAATACAGATATGAAGGACCCAACATCCAGACCCTCTACCATGTTTGGCGCTGTTGTATATCATACTTTTCCAAATACAGACGAGAATAAGGGGTCAAGCTGTTAAAAACAATTACACTTCATGTTTTCTATTAAAAATCTTCACTGTTTTTACACCTACCAAGCAAACTACTTGTATTTCTCTTTACACCACTAGTTAAAACAGCAATCACGATTTTCAAACACATTACAATATTACCAAACAAGCTTTGAACATATAAGTAATAGTAATCATAAATAATTAACAATTAATAATTAATCATCCAATCACCCAAAAAGTTATTTCATCCAAAAAAATTACAATTTTTAATTCATGAAAATATAAAATGGAGTAAGTTCGGTAAGGGCCAAATATGGCCCCGATTATAAAGTTCAACGTTACAAGATAAAACATGTGTTAAGTTGACTTAAAGTCATGTGAAAAAGTTAAATAGAACTATTTGTGTCAAAGTTTTATTCTAAAGCGTTGATTTTTACATCCCAAATACGTTAAAATAAGACATTTTGACGAAATTTGACAAAATCGGCCGGATTTTAACCAAATTTAGGCCTAGGAAATACAGAGCGCAGGCGTCGACAAAATAAATATTCAAGTTAGTCACATGGTTAGAAATAGGGGCCATTTTAGGGCCATATCGAACCTACTCTTTCGGTATTTACATCTGAAAAATACAAATGTACATTTTATATTTCAACCTGTATTTGAATAAAAATAGTGTCGAACGTATATGGTACGAATGTATTTTTTGAGCGAAAGGACCCGATACCAACCGTAATGCCACATCCGCCATGGCGGGTGTTCTCATCTATAATAAACATTTAGCTAAATTAGAAGAATTTAGCGACAATAAGAAAATCTTGGCGACAAGAAGAACAAATTAGCGACAAGAAGACAAATTTAGCGACAAAACAGTTTATACACTACCAAAACTATGAATTAATAGAAAAAGTAAATTAATTAGAGCTGATTTTTTGTTGTTTAATAAAGTTTCAAATTTGGTTTATTTAGTAGCACTACAGTTTTGTAATGAAATTTTAGTGAAAAAAATGTTACAATATTTAAAAAAAAGAATCCACAGAATAATTTGTGTCATGCATATATATATATATATATATATATATATGAGTCTAAAAGATTGTGTAACAATACCGACAAATAGATGGAAAACAAAACACTAAAAAGTGTTGAATATCATCGCACAAAGATGGAAAAACTGAACAGATGATATAAATTATACAATAATTGCAAATATTTCGGCTCAACAAATGGCCTTCCTCAGTGTTAAAAGTTTTAACAATACTGATATATATATATATATATATATATATATATAACATTTTCAAAATTCAAACCAAATTATAAGATAATAATTTGGATTGAATTTTGAAAATGTCAACCCTGCCGACTCTACATAAGTACTGTAATGAAAATACACTGATATATTAACATACACCCTTTAATGCATGTTTCTATATTTATTTTAGATAATTTATATTACGATTTCGTGGTGCTAAATTAGTCTTATTGTCTTTAATTTAATCTTCTTGTTGCTAATTAGTGGGACCCCACGGCGGAGGCATAAAAAACTTAAAAGGTCGTCACCTAGCACTATCTAAAGACAAAATATGTTAATATCATCAATACCCGGTGTACACGTATCAATTCATGAAAAATGTAATAACCAGCAATTTTACTGTACGGGCAACGGTACATGTTTAACTGCACATATGGACTCTAGACGTTCATTTCGTTACCAAGTTCTTTTAAAGAAACACTGTTGTGATTCTGTAGTTTTGTTAGTTGATATTTCAGCATTGATTTGTATCCTCGACATTTTCTTTGGAACTAGTTGCAACATATTAAACATTAAATCTTGTAAAATAGAAAATAATTTGCCTTGCTATGGGAATAGATTTGTTGCTAGGAAAAAAAATTACAATGATTTTGCCAAGAAATGTGCATTCCATTGTGTTATATTTAAACAGTGTATTAGTGTAAAATTCACTACATGTAAAACATGTTTGATTGCAAATATAAATAGATTTAAGCTGTGTATTTTATTTATTTAAAATTATATAAATTATTGACTGAGTTTATCTCCGCCATTATACTGGTTGCTAGTCAACAGAATATACGAGATAGGACCAAAATTCCACAATTTTCAGAAGTTCTATGGTATAGAGTTACAACATGACAAATTAGATGAAGTTTGGGGGTGGGGCCAAAAATTGTCCTCATTACCCCTTGTCTATTATTATAAAAAAGAAAAACATATTGTCCATATCTACAGTTGTAAATAATGAATAGTTTCATTGTAATTTCAGAACACAGACAACTTAGAAAGTAAGTACCCCTTTAAAACCGATGACAAATAATTTTGAAACTGCAATATTATAAACTCTCCAAATTGTACTTCTTTTAACTTTCAATCGTGGAATCCGTTTGTCTTGTTTGTCATCGAGTCCACTCTCCAGCAATAATCTAATGACGGCTTCGATTTGAGGACTTTCATCAGTATTTGTTTCCAGCAGAAAATGTTCTTTTCCGATATGATAAATGAACAGATTTTTGTGTTTTGTTGGGTATCAAATTTCACAAATATTGTATTTTCTGAGAAATTGATTAAAAATATTAAATGGTATACTGATGGTATTTCATCGGGTATCTATTTCAGAAGTACACATTAACTTCGACGAGATTTTAGACAATTCAAAATTTTAGAAAGTGATTGAGAACATTGCAAAATGTTATTAGTATTTCGAAATATATTATAAAGTATGTTTTTACAAATTGTTCAGGTTCAGTAATAGTTACCCCACGAGGACGCGTTGTGTCAGAGTAAGATCACCCCGACGGCCGTAGGCCAAAGGGTGATCTTTCACTGACACACCAAGTTCGAATGGGTTAACTATTTTTCATCCCAGCTGTTCTAGATTATTTAAAAAACCATTTACGCTTCAAAACATCTAGTTTAGAACGCCAAACAATCATTATAACATACTTTATTTATTACTATATAGTATATGCCATTTATGAGCCCCGAACACAATGTTTTAATATTTTAAATTAACAGAGAGTTTACATCCAGTCGTCCTGATGAAGGGGTATGAATCGTGGGTCAATATACTGAAGGTCTTGAGCTCGAATCCCAGCATAGACACTGGATTTTTTGTACATAAATTTTGATAGTTAGTCTTTTCCTTATAAATAGTTCTAAGTTTTATTGTGGATTTGACATTCCCGCCAAATGTTACAGAACAACGGACATGCAGAACAAAGATACTCAAGCTAGGGTGATCTGGTAGGGTGATCTGGCTCAGATCACCCCTTGTTCGGATCACATTAATATTATCGATAAAGTCGAGTATGCGGTTAAATAAAGTATCTTTATTCATCAAATTTCATTTTGATTCATATACTATCAGTATCGTTACAACCGATTGTCTGCAATAAAAAGACGAATACACATTAACATACATCGTAAGTAAAAATATATATTAAAACACTAAAATATTAAACTTAACAAACAATTGGAATCACTTTCTGTCACGCTCCATAAATAACTTGTTAAATTAAAAAGTTAGATGAAATAAATATTAAAGTTCTGTTACATTTCTTAATAAAAGATACAATAGTTTCTTTTTTAAATAAATATTGTTCTAAAAAATGTACATCAATATTTCTTACCGATTAAAATCTCTCTAAACAACTAACAATGTGTCTCTGAATCATAAATAACTTGCAATGAATATGAACTCTAGACAACGTAACGTACGTCAAAGGCGTAACTTCATAAAACTTAAAAAAAACGGGAAAAATTACAATGTATATGAGCGTAACGTTACATATGCGCAAATGCTCAAATAGTATCTACAATTTTTATAGATAGAATAAAAAAATTCAGTAATAAAAAAAATAAAAAAACCAACAATCTGGAACACCATTTCAAATCTAACACTCCCCACCATGACATTTCGTAAAAATTGTCATCACACAAAAACTGACAAATATAAATTCATTAATGTAAATTCTATTGTGAACATTCAAGTAAGCATAATTTAGTTACAGGTCTAAAAATTTGTGACTCTTTTGTTCTGATCACACAACTACGGATAAGACTATCACGGCTCCTACTGACCTCAATTACTCGTCCTAATGGCCACTGTCCTCTCGGTGTATGATCATCAACAACGATTACAATGTCGTCAATCTTTATATCTCGTTGTTCTCTTTGCTATTTGTTTCTCTGCTGTACAGTTGGTAAATATTCACGCAACCACCGTCTCCAGAATACATTGGCCGATTTATTGTATCTGCTTCCACCACCTTTTAGCATAGCCATCTTTCTCATTAAACACACCTTGCGGTATTGAAGTGTTGTTTTTCATTAATAATAACATGTTCGGTGTGAGAACTGGTAAATCTCGAGAATCATTACTGACTGGTGTTATCGGTCTATCATTTACGATCCGTTCGGCTTCAGCCATAAAGGTAAGTAACTATTCATCAGAGGAAGTTGATCATTTACAAGAGCTCTGAGAATTTTCCGTGTCGTACGAATCATTCTTTCCCATACACCACCACGATGACTAGCGTTTGGTGGATCGAAAGTCCAATGAATATCCTTGTGTGACAAATAATTGAATATTTTTTGTTTTGTTCCATTGTTCAATAGATTTCCGAAGTTCCGATTCTCCACTGACAAGATTTGTCCCGTTATCACTATAGACCCTTTTAGGAATGCCTCACCTAGTCGTAAAACGTTGGAAAGCAGAAATAAGGGAATCTGTTGTCAAGCTATGAGCTACTTCTATGTGGACAGCTCTCGTTGTGAGACATGTAAAAAGGCAATCGTATCTTTTAACGACTGAACGTCCAACTTTAACATTTAAAGGACCAAAGTAGTCTATTCCAACAAAACTAAATGGTGGTTTATCAGGAGTTTTCTGGTCGTCTATAACAGAAGCTGAAAACAAAGCGGTGCTTGATATCGTCTACATCTGTTTGGACAGTACTAGGTCCTTTTAAAATCAAATAAGTTTCCCGTAATGATGCTAGCACTTGTGCCATTCCCATATGTCCATGTTGTTCGTTGAACGACCTGATTATTAAAATTGTCACGTGATGCGATTTGGTATGATGACAGGACATTTGTTTGGTGACAAGTTGAGACAAATATGTCATTACATCGCGTATTGGATCAGTTGTAGTGGGGTTAATCATAACAACCCTTTTGATCTCAATGTCTTGATTGTCAACGGATGATACAACTTTTGGTTTCGGCCACTCACATGAGTCTTTCAACAAGTAATCGGGCCAATGGAGCCAAAATTTTATCTGTTTATTGTCTGTTGCATTAATGCCTCTAGATGCTATGTCGGCAGGATTTGATCTTATATCTATGTATCGCCACTGACCTGGTGATGTCAATTCGTGAATGCTACTTAATCTATTTGCAACAAATGTTTTAAAGCGACGGGATTCATTTTTGATGTATCCAAGTACAATCATAGAGTCAGTCCAAAATACTACGTTGTCAATCTTAATCTCTAATTCGTTTCTAATTATTTCGTAAAGTTTGCAAGCAACTACTGCACCTAATAACTCTAGTCTTGGAATTGTTGTCTGTTTTAATGGCGCTAAGCGGGATTTTCCCAGTATAAGTGAACAGTTCACCTTTTCATTAGTGCCTACGAGACGTAAGTAAGCGCATGCTCCATACCTTATTTCGTACCCATCGCTAAACATATGAAGTTGAGCATCAGATATATCTTTCATGTCTTTTGTCTTGAAGCATCTAGGTATCGATATATTTTCAATTTCTGGCAGTGTCGACTTCCATTTTATCCATTCTTCTTCTTTTTCTTTCGGAATAGGATCGTCCTATCCAAGCTTTATTGACTGTTTACTTAGGTCTTGTAATAAAATCTTCCCTTTCAAAATGATTGGCGCAATGAGTCCCAGTGGGTCAAATATCGAACATATCGTAGAAGTTATTCCGCATCTTGTCAGCGGCTGCTCCTCGAGTTTAACTTTATATTTGATGGCATCATCATTTACATCCCATATAACGCCTAGTGTGCGATCGGTCGGCAAAGCTGTGTTTGACTTCAAAATAACAACTGAAGGTGCTCGTTCCGAATTCGGTATTTCGCTTATAACGGCTTTACTGTTACTTAACCACTTCGTTAATCGGATTTCACCACGTTTCATAATTTCTCGTAAATCAGTTGCAAGCTGAACGGCTCTTTCTTCCGTGTCCACTGACTTCAAAGGGTCGTCGATATAAAAGTTTCTCTCTACGGTTGATGCTACCTCTGTTTCAAATAACTCACTCAATGGCTGTCTTTTTCAATGCGTATGCAGCACAACTGGACAATGATGTTACACCAAACAGATGGACCTGCTTCTGGTAACATTTTTGCTGTACTTTTAAGTTTCCATTTGGCCACCATAAAAATCGTAAAGCATCACAGTCATCGTCCTTCATGCGGACTTGATGAAACATAGCCTCGATATCAGCAGCTAATGCAATGTGGTCTTGTCTAAATCTCATTAGAACTCCTACCAAACTGTTCATAAGGTCTGGACCTTGTAATAATCGGCTATTTAACGAAACATCTTTAGGCTGCACAGTCGAAGACTACTCTTACTTTTCCAGGTTTATGTTCATTTGTGACAGGGTGATGCGGAAGGTACAATATGTGACCTGACTCATTTCGTACATCAGTAACTTCCTTTGCATGTCCCTTTTGTATATAATCACTAGCCGTTGCTGTATACATCTCATGCAGCTTAGGATCATGTGACAATTTGCGGTGTAATTGGTTTAATCGAGCGTGTGCTAAAGGCAAATTATTCGGCAGTTTTACATTTTCATCCCGCCACGGTAAGCCGAGTTTGTTATGTCCATCTTCATAGGCTATTGTTGACTCCATTACTTTCAAGGCGCGTTTATCCTCCAAAGACATGCATATTTTCTCCGTGCTAGGCTGATCGAGAAAATCAGTGGTACAAAGCCGCTCTAATTGCTGCTGCAAGAGTACATTATCTGCATACTCAAAATTGATGTTAACTACATCACTGGTGCTTACATTGCTGAGGGGGCCTCTAACGATCCATCCTAAGCGTGTTCGTACGGCATAGGGCTCATTCTTCTTCCTGAACGCACTTCAATGGGAATGTGTGCTTCTGGTGTATCAGTGCCTATTAGAAGCACAACTTTATTGCTGCTGAACTAGAGTATATGAATATCGGACAAGTGTTTAATTCTATTAAAATCTTTATTATTTGCGGCTGAGTGTGTCGATATCGGTAGATTTTTAACTGACCATACCTTACTAAGTGTTATCGGACAATTGCTTCCAACTGATTGTACATGTAAGTTAACCTCTTGACCTTCGTGTCGGACTCTTTGTGCTGTTGCTGTTGTCATTTTAAACGTAACTGGTCTACTTTCTGTTTCTAACATTTGTATTATGCGCTCGTCACATAACGTTTTATCCGCTCCATCAATAAGTGCATCGGCAAGTTTTCCCATTTGACCCTTTAACCTCGACGGGTATAATTCCTAGACAATTCTTTATAACAGTCCCGGCGGATGAACAATTAATGCTTACTTGTGTAGCAGTGTGATCAGTGTTGTTATTTTTACCCCGATTATGCATTAAAATGTGATGTTTAGAGCTACAATTTTCTACAGTGCACATTTTAGCTTTCTACAGTCCCTTGAAAAAGGTTTACTCTTTAAACAATTAAAACATAGCTTAGCATTTCTCCATCAGTTAAGTTCATAGACTTGAATTTTACACATAATTCTAAATTATTACATGTACCTTCACAATAAATACATTTACGATCTTGTGTTGTAGCCTTGCTTACATACATGTTATTAGAAGCAAATGTAGATACCTTCTCTCTTGTATTCATATCAGTATGTCTGTCTAGATTTTTTCTACATGTATTTGAGTTTTCTTTTACGAGATCAAGACCAAACATTGACGAGGCTAGGCGAGACTTCTTATCAATAATTTTCGCTAAATCGGAAAATCTATGTTCTCTTACCAGTTTCAGTTATGGAATGAGCAACCCATTTTACCCTTAAATGCATAAGTAAACGCTTTACAATCTAATATTATCAGTATTATCTATATCAGACACATATCCTAATTGTGATAAAGTTATCTCACACTTTTGCATTTCAATAGCTAATTTTGAAAGTGACTCAAAATCCGATGCCTTTATCGGAGTACCATATACAAGATTTTCAATATATGATCTAACTATCATGTGTGACTTGCTTTAACATGAGTATAAAATAGACCTAGCACGTTCATAACCTTTTTGCTCTAATAATACACCATCTTCTATAGAAGATTTAGCATCACCTTTGCAATACTGAATTAAATAACTTAACCTTAATTGATCATCTGTTACTCTACTTTCAACATTCGTTTCAAAGATCTTTATGAATTTACAATAATCTGTAGGTTTACCATCAAATGTCAAAATTTCAGGCTTAGGTAGGTTGAATCATTCTTGAAGTGCTGCTGCAAGTCTTTGAAATGCGGTATCGATGCTGCTATTGGACTGTAAACTTCCAGTGGTGCACTCTATCCTTGAAACGGCATTTTCAGTACTCTTTGTTGTAACATGTTTATTAGGAAGTGTCTTATTTTCTGTGTTTATCGGCACGTTCATATTCTGATTGTTCTTAAACGTTACCTCGGTTTCTTCTTCCTGCCACACAGATTTTTCCAACTTCAAGCTGACTTTTTCTTTCTAACATCTACTCCTTCATTTCTATTTCTCGACGAGCGTGTTCTAGTTCCTGTTTTTCAGCCATTTTCTTCATTTGAACCTCGGCCTTTAAGCGGTTATCCCTCGCCAGCTTCAGTCTATACTGTGATGACGATGAAGTCTGAGATACAGATGTAATACTGCTATTCTTGTCTCTTCCTCCTTTTCCTTTTCAGGTTCGCGTACCCACTCATTAAATCTTTCACTGAATTCAATGAGGTTTTTCTGTGAGCTGTCAAAGTTCATTTCTAATGTCTCAACAATATCAGATTTTGTACAAAAGTCTAAACATTCCAAATGTGCAACTTTAAACTGTTCATAGCGATCACACAATTTGTTGTACAATGTTTTCACCGTTTCCCCGTGATATCATCTTTGTCTCCAATTCATTATATAAATTTGTAATCTGTGCCAAGTTAGTTGTTCTTATTTTCCGAGATTCTTCATACGCTCGCTCCGCTTCTTCACTGTCCATCTTTTCGGAAATAATCGAGAAGTGTTCGGATCACATAAAAAAAATCGATAAAGTCGAGTATGCGGTTAAACTAAGTATCTTTATTCATCAAATTACATTTGGATTCATATACTATAAGTATCGTAACAACCGATTCTCTGCAATAAAAAGACAAATACACATCAACATACATCGTAAGTAAGAATATGTATTAAAACACTAAAACATTAAACTTAACAAACAATAGGAGTCACTTTCTTTCACGCTTCATAAATAGCTTGTTAAATTAAAAAGTTAGATGAAATAAATATTAAAGTTCTGTTACATTTCTTAATAAAAGATACAACAGTTTCTTCTTTAAATAAATATTGTTCTAAATAATGTACATAAATATTTCTTACAGATTATAATCTCTCTAAACAAATAACGATGTGTCTCCGAATCATAAATAACTTGCAATGAATATGAACTGTAGACAACGTAACGTACCTCAAAGGCGTAACGTCATAAAACTTAAAAACGGGAAAAAATACAATTTATATGAGCCCAACGTTACATATGCGCAAACACTCAAAAATAGTATCTACAAGTATTAAAAATAAAATGAATAAATTCAGTAATAAGAAATGAATAAACCCAACAATTTGGAACAACATTTCAAATCTAACACTCCTGGTAGAACAAAGGAGCTGAGATGTTATTAGATATACACGTGCCATTACAGTAAAAAATAAACCCATACGCTTGTCACAATCAGTATGCTAATACAATTACTTTCCAAGTTTTCCCTCGCTTTTAAACTTAATTTGACCTTGAACCTGAAAGTAGTTTTTAAATCACTAGTCTTACATGTAGGTATTTTCTTGGAAGTTCATGTCGCGTGTTTCTGTTGTTTTTTAAAGCTCCAGACCTCAGTACTGCTTATACCAGCCATAGATAGCCATGATGTATTTATATAGAACCTTATATTTAGAAAACATAACAATAATAACTACGGATTAAGGAATATGCACGAATTTTTAAATCAATAGTAGACAACCAGCCTCATTTCGTATAGAAAATGTGTAGTAAAGGCGGGATCGCATTTCTTCCGCAAGATAAGTTTTAACTGGATGACAAGGAGATGTAGATTTCTTTAAGTAATCTAATATTCATAAAACGAGATATTGGGTAAAGTCAATGAGCCAGCAATCCGACGACACTAGAAAAATTAATATATTGGGATCGACATATGAACTTCGATATATGATTGATGGCAGTTTAGTATGTAATATTCTACATTGCCAATATTTAAAAAAAAAGGTCGGAGTAATTTAAATCAATTCTATTTACAATACTATGTTTTAAAAAATTTCTATCTGTAATGTTTCATAAAATAAATGTAAGTCATGAACGAGGAGTATTTTATCTTTCTAGACAACAAGCCGATAAAAAACAATTTAAGAAACCGAATGATCCTGGCGAAAACACTGAACTAAATACATCACAAGGTAAGTGTTTCCTAATATTACAGTGAAAACTGTAACAGAATCTATTTTGTTTTTCATATCTTGTGTAGTTTGTGTTGAATAATAAACATAGCACTAAGAAAATTTCTGCAAAATATATGTTATAATGATAGATGCAAGTCCTCTTAGTTCCCCGAAGAACTAATATTGTACATGTGGATTTTGCTGTCCTTTATTAAAGCATTTCAATGTGTTCCAATTTATTGATGATGATACTTGTGGTAAAAATTATTCTGTTAAAATGTCTTCTCAGATTTGTTGGAAACATCAAATAGCATATTTTTTTTCTTAATTTAAAATAAAAGGATAAGAACAGTATCATGCATAAAACAAAATTATTATTTTACATGCAATGTGTATTCTTGTTATTTAGATGCTGGCAAAGGAGAAAATAGTACAAATCTATTAATTTCGCTTAATTCAACAGAATAGATCTTACTTATTTGTATGAATATTGCTAATCGAATGGTTTTTTTTTAAGATTTCCAAAATGGTAGTCTATACAGTTTCTAGCAAATTTATTATTCGAATGATAACATTTAGATATTAATCGTACATTCACAGGTCATTTGCTTTTATTTCAGTGCCAACAGAAAAAGTCTATGAAAATGAAGTATTTTGATGCAGATTAGGCAACCTACAACGTTTGTACTGAAAAGAAAACAATTCAAAGAGATACATGAATGTTTCGTCAACGCATATATTTGTTTTATTGTTGTGTAATCTGTTATTTTAGAATAGTTTGTTTGTGTATATAGTTAAGAGAACAAAAGAGATAAAATAGAAAATAAATTCTTTGCAAATTTTTGCGCTAATTATATATTCCCGTTTAAATTGGATTTGCTTTTAAATCTGTATAATTGCGTTCTAAAATTATTCATTATGCGAATAGTTCTTTTTTCGTCAATATATGTCCACTTCAGTTTCACATCTAGCTTAAAGGTCATTTCCAAAGCACTCAAACAACAATGTTTAAAAACCCTGACACCAAAACCTATATACAAATGACATACAGGCGAAATATAAATCACCAGAGCCTAGACCAGCTGTGAAATTGCATTTAACAAAATCGATATAATATTTCAGGTCAAATTACAGTTAATGGTCTATTTTACAGATTTTGATAAAATTTGGCATACAATTTTGGCTCGTTGAACTTTAAAATGAAAATCGAAAAAATAATTCATTTATGATTGTTATCCTCTGACATAATACTTGTTAAATTCTATCAAAATAGATGAACATTAAAAAAAGAAAAAGAAATCATCAAATCTCCAATATCAAATCCATCAATTTTCCTTATAATATTATGTTGTCAATACATAAATTTCCGTTTTAACGATGTAACAAATAATAATAGTTATCAACTGTGTTTTCAAGATATTCTTGGTTAAAAGTGGTGTTCTAGGTGAAGAAATACCACAAAACGTCAAAATAAGAGTAACGTTATCGCGCTGTCAGCCGTATAACGTCGATTTTTCTACGTTTTTACTACCAACTAGGTAACAGATTAGTTGATACATCTAAAACGAAGTCGGTGACCATCTGATTATTTCATATTATTAAAGCGGAAATTAATGTTACACCAACATATAGTGTTTAAGAAAAACTATGGATTTGAAATCGGAGATTTTTAGATTTTAAGACAAATTTAAGAACGTTTTACGCCAATGTTATTATAAATAAGATAACGCGAGTAAATGGTCGTTTTTGGTAAAGCCTTCGATTATATCTATTTTGTCTACAAAAATATGTGTTATATGGTAATATTTGGTCAAATATGTCAATTTCACCATGTTTTGACGTCATTATGAAATTACATATGACTTTTATACTAACATGTTCATTTATTTATAGAATGCACATAAGCTTTTTAATATCAAATAATCTAACTTTTTGCAATTTTAGAAGCAAAATTAGATATGACAAACAGCCTTGAGCTAGAATATATTAAAATAATATTTCTCTAATTCTTACACAATTTATCCTTTTCCTGTCATGTTAATTATTTTTATCTCGTTTTATCTCAGTTCTTCATTGGTCAAAATTCGATTATGACGTCAAATTTTCTTGCTTTCCTCTGAATTTCCTATTGTGACGGCATGAAAAAAGGCGACCATGCCTGATGACGTCACATAGAAAGAACACATCTTTTGCCGATCATTTTTAAAGAAGGAATAAGTTTGCTTGCATATTGCATAAAAATCATTAGAGAAACAGATTCCACCACCAAATCTCATGTAAAACTTTGTAATCTTAAAAATTGCTGATCCTATAGAAATGCATTTATAAATATTGACAACATTTGAGATCTTTAAAAGTTTCGTTAGGTCTAATATTGTATTTTTGCAAATAATATATTTCAATTACTTCTGTAATATTTTACATACTGCAATTGCATTTATATTATAAAGCATCTTACGTTTTACAAATGATGCTTATATAAAACCCAACCCACAATTGCATGTTTATTTAGATAATACCAATTAAAAGGGAAAAAAAATTTAATTAAAACATATAATACACCTTTGCGTAGTTGATTTTCTGCGACAAGTTTTGAATGTCTTCTTGGTATCTTCCGCTTCTTAACGGCTTGCTGGGAGTTGATGGATTAATGCAATGACCTTGTGTGTGTCCATGTGTTGTTTAAAATATGTCGTCCCGTTCCTCCGGAAATAGCTGTTTGATATTCAGCCTGTATTGTTACAAATTTTAACTAGTTTGTCTTTTAGTTGTTTTTTCCTTTTATGCCTAACGTTGTAAGTTTTCATCAATTAATGAGTTTTAATATCCAATTGGTATCCTCCTCGTGACTAATATATTGTACTCTGTGTCTAGATCTGCTCGACGGGGTAGCATTGTTTTGAATTATTATCTTACTCTTAAAGCATTATATTTTTCGTCTACTTCCAATAATTGTAGATTATAACATGGCAATTTCAATATTGGCCTAAGTATCAGCCCGAGACTACCAGCGGATTATGCGTTAAACGTAGTTTTATGGGGTTTTTTTGTACATTTAAATGCGACCAAGTTGAATGAATTTATCAGTAACGTATCTTCGTCTAGGTACGTGTTAATCGTATGTTTATATTGCGGAGTTCGTTTCACATATGAAATTTGATAATATATGTACACATTATGGGCGGTATCCTAGATAGGAGGCGATCTGTGGTGATTGATACAATAACAATGGGCGTTTGCGATGGTGTATACAGTCAGTAGTCAAATGACGTTTAAAAATTAATATATATCGGAAGACTTTGATAAAAAGTAGGATTATTTTGTTAGATTTGAAGAATCATGGCTTTAAGTCAGAGATTTCGTTACAAAAATAACTTAACATTTGTACTTGATTCTTTTTTACATATAAAGATTTGTGTTTGGAATGTGACTGTACATGTAGCAGTGTTGTTAAAAACGGGATATAACTGCCTAATGTTTACGGTTATGTTGTTTATAACTTATTGATCCTTTAAATATACTCATTCTTAAAGGATATAATTTAACGCGATAAAAACATGCTGGAATATAGTTTTTATCGGTACTAGCATTGATTTTATTTTTGAAAAATTAAACACAACTGAACATGAATTGTTTTACATTGACGAAACTTTATGGTCCTACATCCTGTCTATATTGCAATTGAATACTTTATGTTTTGGCATGGCATAATGTCATGCTTTTTTCAGACTGTTTATGACGTTTTTACACTAAATACATTAGATGTTTCCTCATTGATATTTCAGTCTGGGGATCATGATTTATTAAGTAGTTGATATTTGCTTTTAACTAGCTTAAACTAAATTTTGGAGAACTGAGCGCTCGCATATATGTTTTACACCGCCACTTTTTGTATGTGTCTGTTTCAAGTCGGGAACATGTTATTCAGTGGTTGTCGTTGGTTGTTGTATGTTAAATTTTTTTTCGTTCATTGTTTTGTCATACATCAGGCCGTTTTTGTTGAGTTTGAATTATTTAACTTTTATCATGTTAGGTCCTTTCATAACTGATTGTATACGGTATGGCCTTTTTTTATTGAAGGCCGTATGCTGATCTATAATTGCTTACATCCACGTCGTTTGGAGTATGTTGAGTAGTTGTTGCATGTCTTATCATACCCAATCTCCTTATCTTATATCATGTACGATATTTCAGTATCAGCGATCATAATTTGCCAATTCAATCTAACCTGTTATGAATAGATGACGATGTTTCTTTTTTTGTTTTAATGCATTAATATTGTGCCAAATAATCGTAAATATTGCATGTCTATGACAAAATTATAGCATTAATAAGTTTTTCGTAATAGAAAAAGGCATTGCTATTCTCTTAGAAAAATATCGCACATATGTAAGAAAAGAATGCATCAATTACACGTGGTTATAGCATACATAGCAATCAAACAAATTGAAAGTGCATCACATTGTCTGTGTTGCATGAATGCTATGGTGTTTGTATACATCAAATTCATAGATCGTACAAATAGGTTTCATTTAATCAATATCTTTATTTTCTAGTATGAAAAAAAAACACCTGTGATTAGATGTACATGTACACATTGCACAAAACATCAACAGACATTTGTACCGTTACATGCATATAGGTCCCTGTTTCAACTATGAAAAACACTAATTGCCCGAAAATTATTCTTTTGTTCTTACAAAAGTCAATACTCGTCTGCAATTCTCACTCAATGCATCTCGTTGACAAAAGAAAATATTGCTATTCCACATAAGAAACTTTGTCGATTCGCCCTGTCCATAGACAGGTTATCATATCTCTACTCTGTATACTAAAGTATAATACAACTTTATATATATAAAAAAAAACAAGTTCGTCTTGCTATAGTCCCAGTGAAGCTTAAATAAAGGCAATAGTAGTATACCGCTGTTGAATAGTCATAAATCGATTTAACTGAAACAAATCCGGGTCACAAACCAAAACTGAGGGAACACATCAACTATAAGAGGAAAAAAAACGGAACAATAGAAACACTGAACTGCTACAAAAACAAACGCCAACATACATAGAAACGGACTATGTGATAATAACTGCCATATTCATGACTTGGTACAGGACATTTTAAGAAAAAATGGTGGGTTGAACCTGGTTTTATAGCTAGACAAACCTCCCGCTTATATGAGAATGTTAAAAATACCACTAAAATGACAACATGACGTCACAGGAATACATTACAAATAAATGCAAGAACACTCAGGACAGAGAAATACATAAATAAATAATGTAATAGTATTTTTCAACATGTAAACCACAGAATAACAACGACCACCTTAAATTAATTTACGACAGAACACAAATACAGCACAATAGAATAATGAACAGTGCGTCACACAAATGTATCAACGCCACAAAAAGTGACGTCACAGGTAAATTTCTAGAAATAGAATATAAAATTGGGATTAAGTTTGTAATGGTGTTATTTGATGTATTTTCTAACCATTACAAGAATATTAGTATAGAATTGTGTTAGTAATGGTGTAATTATTTGTATTTTATAACCATTTATTCTAAATCAAACTGTGTAAAAACAAATAAATCCTGTGCATATAGTTACTTTAAACTAAAAATCATTTAAATGAAATAGGTGATTAATATCTTTACTTTTACATACATATAGAAAATAAAAATAGAATTAAAACCACAAACGATAAGACATAAAACAACGTCGAACCAGAATTACAAATGAAACGTCATAACTAAATACATGAATGTTGGATGTACAAATAACGAGACACGTCTAATAGCAATGCGAATTTACACTCAGCAAAACAGTCATATTCAGGAATAGGTCACGTTCGGTACTTAGTATAACAGACGACGTAGATGGTTAACCACAATCTAAGATGTGTTAAAAATGTCGTTCGTTAGTTTAGACACAGACACATCGTATAGATCAACCAACGGAGGGTCATTTTTAAACTTGCCTCCTCATACAGTCCGTGTAACGTAAAAGTTAACAATACGAACGATGCCCGAATCATGTACGGACGATGCCCGAACGATGTACGTACGCTTCCCGAACGGTGTACGAATGCAAACGAAACGCTGACCGAACGTTGTACGGACGCTGACCGAATGATGTACGAACGAAACCATGTACCATAAACCATACCATAAACGATAACATAAGCGCCCTTTTATCGTACATCGTATGGTTTTGCATACATCGTTTCGTTTAGCGTATACCGTATCGTGTATCGTTTAGCGTATATCGTTTCGTTTCGCGTATATCGTATCGTTTAGCGTACATCGTTTCTTGACGTGCAAAGTTTCGTTTAGCGTACATGTTTTTCTTTAAATATAAAACATGAATTGTGTTCTGTTAAATCTTTTTGTATACCCGGTAGGTGGTAACAGGCGTAAAATTTAGATTGGATGCATATTTCAGTTTTAATTAATCATTTAGTAAATCATAATTTAATCTGACTCGATGTTGATCCAAAATTATTTACATAAAAAGTTTGAAAAAAAAACACTGAAATAAATTGAAACAAATTAAATGATACGATTATGAATTTTGTTAGCCGTGGAAATACGTAGTTGGTGAATGTGCGCGTAAACAACAGTCTGCAGGGTATTCAGACAGTTTTTGAAAATAGTCTAAGGTATTAACTAATCCAGTCGTTATATTACGATCACTACGATCACTCCGAGAAAAGTAGTGGATAGAGGGCGCTGAATTATTCGAGTTAGGTACTAACATTTTTTTTACCTAAATGAACAATTTATTTTAGATGGAATTTGGAATTAATCTAATGTTCTTACAAAAGTATATTCGGGCAGGGACTTTCTATACTTAGTCATGATAGAAAGTCCCTGATTCGGGGTCTTAAGGTTGACCTATTGTTCAAAAGGTTCAATTATTTTTATGTATTCTCTTCTATCGCATGTATTTTAACATCGACTGAATAAAAGTATATATCGTAATTAAACCATTTTTTTAGATTATAGATATGTTTTTTATTCATCTATCAAATCAGTCGAAAAAAACAATTTATTCGAGAAATTTCAAATAGAAACAATTACCCGTTATGTGCCTCCAGGGACTTTCTATACTAACTTTAGTATAGAAAGTCCCTGGTGCCGTATCAACCCTAAACATAAATCCCTACCAATGTTCAAACGATTGTGTATTATTTTTACTACAAATGCACTTTAAACAATCATCAAAAAAGAGCGTGTCCGGCAAATGAAAAATTCTAATTCATAAGTGAAATTATAATTTAGCGTTTCATTTTTGTATTTTCAAACAACAAAAAACTAGACCATTTCCCTCTATTCTTTAATTTTCTAAGACCATTGTCCTCTATTCTTTATTTTGCCCGTTATATTCTATTCTTATTTTATATTTGATTGCTTTATTTTCCTGTATCTATATATATATATATATATACCTCCTTTATTCGGAGCAACCCCACCCTAAATATACATATGATACACAGTGTCTATAGGTCATCGCTTGTGCCGTGATACACATGTTTTCATAACAAAAGAT